CCCCTTACTTGACGAGCGATGGTACGAACCACAAAAGATTTATTCACATTTAAATGCTGGAGTGCTCTAACGATAGCCACTTGTGGTTTTCCAGCCAAATATAAAGAAATCACACTATCACGCTTGAATTCCATCACGAATAATTTTTTTTTCTGGAAAATTCTCACCAAAATGCTTTTGTACGCTTGTAAACGATATAATGAGCTGTCACTGGAGTAATTCTAACAGCTGTCGGACGAGTGGCTTAGAAATGACAGCAGTCTGAATTTGGTTGCAGTTTTTTCATCTCATTCTGTATAAGGAATATTGAAAAGAAATTAATGGGGATGTTGTTCGTCTGGCGTAACCGGTTCTGTATCTATTATATATTTCTGTAAAATTTCCAATTTTAAAATAATCATTTGAAATTAGAATTTCTCCGAATTCGATTCAATGAATTTGTAGAATTACAATTTCGTATCTAAAATTTGCTCTACATGAATTCGTAAAGTCATAAAATACTGTAAATATTATTGCTGTTGGTTGTGGTGCAAAAAAAAAAAAAAAAAAAAAATAAACAGAAAAAATATCTTTATCAAAATATACACATAGCGGGTCTCTAAACCAAATACCAAATGCCTATGGACAGAAATACTGCCAATAAATGTTTGTTTGCTGTTCATTTCGTCTGCCCATAGTTTTGCATGGGTGTTTATTTGAAAAATTTGCTGGCAAAAAAATACAATTCTCTTATTAGCATCATATGTATTGACTGTAACTGAAATGGGAATATGTGAATGAATGGCGAGAATAAAATTCAAAATGGCTTAAATACTAAAAATAACAAGTGAAACAGCAGCTAAGCTCGGAGGGGCCGGGACCGAGTATTGGGAGGTACCGTCATATGGGGGCTTTACGAAGACGTGAGCATGCATACAAAATTTTTTTGTCATAGGCTGTAGCACCCATTACGAACTTCAAATACGAAATTTGAAATAATACCGATAAATAATGTCGCTAAAATCATGAAAATGCCGAATATCGGGATGTACCGTTATATAGGGGTTATGCGAAGACGTGGACCTGCATACAAAATTGTTTGTCATAAACTGTAGTACCCATTACGAACTTTAAATGTGAAATTTGAAATAATTCCGGTAAAAAATGTCGCTGAAATCATGAAAATACCGAATATTGGGAGGTACCGTTATATGGGAGCTATATGAAAACGTGGACCGACATGGCCCATTTACGAACTTAACCTGCCTACTGGTAACCCATAGAATGGTGGAGGATATAAAAGCGTTTTGAATATTTACACGATTCGAAAGGAAACCAGTAGATTAATGGAATCAATATGAGGCAGGTAGCCCATTCTAAGGTAATGTAAACAAAGTACTTTTTATACCCTCAGCCAAACGGCTAAAGATGGTATATATCATTTGATACGGTCAAAACGAGCCGGTTTCATCCCTAGGTCTTTTTGGGCCAATACCGTTTAAGAACATTTGGAGTCGATCTAGCGATGCCCGTCCTTCTGCTCAGCTGGCTGGCTGGTGCGCACAATAACTTTCGAAGAGAATAACCGATTTAATCCAAACTTGGTACATCGTAATATTATTGTCAAACTTAGATCGAGTTCGGAGATAGACAATATCGATCCACTCCTTCTGGTACCTGCCCCACAAAATGTCAACATTTTCAAAGAATATAATTTACTGCACAGAAAGAGAAAAGATAATCCGAATTTGCTTCAACTTTGCAAATCCTAATATTTGCATCAGTGCTAGATTAGGTGAGAAAATGGACAAAATCGGTCCACTCCATAAAGTACCTCCCCCACAAAGGGTCAAAATCTTGAATAATTATAACTCTTATAAAATTTGATGTAAGTATCCAATTATCTTCAAATTACACACATCAAAATAATTTTATTAACCCAAGGTCTGGTGTGAAGATAAGATATATTGGTTCATTGCTTCTGGTACCTCCCCCACAAAGGGTCAATATTTTTAATAATTATAACTCTTATAAAATATGATGTAAGAGTCTGATTGTCTTAAAATTACACGCATCACAATTTATTTATTAATTCAAGGTCTAGTGTGAAGATGGAATAAATCTCTTTATATTTCTATCAACACATGATCCGTTACAAAGATGGTAGAGATCGGACCATTTCTTCTGGTACCTCCCCCACAAAGGGTCAATTTTTTAATAACCATAACGATTATAAAATCCTAAATAACCATCCGATTCTCTTCATATTTCACACATCGCAATATTTTTATTAATTCAAGGTCTGGTGTGAAGATGGAATATATCGCTGCACTCCTTCTGGTACCTCCCCCACAGAAGGTCAAAATTTAGTATATCCATGAAGCTCATTAAACACGAAATTAACATCCGATTCCATTCAGATCTGGTATGTCTCAATATTTCTATCAACTCGTGATCCGTTATAAAGATGATGGAGATCGAAGCATTTCTTCTGGTACCTCCCACACATAGTGTTCAAGATTTTGAAAACCAAACCGCTCAATGAAAGCGTAATAAGCATGCGACTCCTTTTAAATTTCACACACATCCAAATAGTTTTACTAACGCAAGATCTGTTGTGAAAATGATATATATACCTGCCAACCACTTCTGGTACCTAACCCACAAAGGGTCACAATTTCCTGTGCTTATTTCTGCGAAACAAGTCGGCGATACTTTGCAACTTGCTATATCTAAATATTTATCTAACCAGTAATCTGAGATGATTATAGAATTTATGATTTCCCATACCAATATTTTTATATGTATTAGATAAAACATGAGATACTTCGGTCGACTATACTTGATACCTCAAGCACATCTTAACATTTTCTAAAAATGATCACATGTGTCATGTGAAGTAAAGGAAGTTACCAACCTGTTACCAAGTTACCCCATATTTATATCGTATTTATTTAGGTCAACTGCGAAATAGGCAATATTGGCCCTTTCTCTCAGAACCCACTCCATAGAGTGTCAACAGTTTGAATATTCATAACAGAAGTCAAAATATATTTAAATAATCGAACAATGACTGGAGGGTATTAGTCTGTCGGCTGTACCGATTGATACTTTTTAACTTGTTTTTCTGTAGCTTTTGACAGATCCTAAAAAATATTTTGAAAGATTCTAAGACTCTTAGATTGTCTTCTAAAAAAATATAAAGAATTTCACGAGTCTTTGGGAATCAATATATTTAAAAAAAATCCACGATTCTCGGAATGTCCTAGAAGATTATTTACTAAAATTCCACCAATATAAAAATATGACCGTGAAGTCCTTTAAAAGAACTTTTTAAAAACCCCACAATTTTGAAATGTTCTTGGATATATATGAGGGACTTGAACAACTCCCCACACAAATCTCAGAAGTCTGCGGGTTCCATAATAGGAGAAAACAGTGTATTGTAAACAATTAAAAAAGCTGTAAGTTCGGCCGGGCCGAACTTTGAGTACCCTCCACCATTTGATACAAATTTGGCAATTTTCAAAAAATTAAAATCCATTAACAATTATTTTAAAATTTAAAAAAAAAATACCGAATGTAGCCGTATACGGCCTATACGACGACGTGGACCTGCATACGCAACTTTTGTCATAAGCCTGCACAGACAATTGGCATAGGATGTAGTATCTATTACGAACTTCAAATACAAAAATTTGGAATAATTCCGGTAAATAATGTCGCTAAAATCATCAAAATACCGAATATCGGGAGGAATATGGGGGCTGTACGAAGAGTGGACCTGCACAGACAATTTTCTGCCATAGGCTGTAGTATTCATTACGAACTTCAAATGCGAAATTTGAAACCATTCCGGTAAATAATGTCGCTAAAATCATCAAAATACCGAATATCGGGAGGTACCGTTATATGGGGGCTTTACGAAGACGTGGACCAGCATAGACAATTTTTTGTCATAGACCGTAGTATTTATTACGAACTTCGAATACCAAATTTGAAATAATTCCGGTAAATATGTACTTTGTGGGGTCTAAAACTTAATACTGTGGTGGAGGGTATAAAAAATGGAGTACAGTTTTTTCCCACAAGTTCTTAAATAAATATAATTATTTTTAGATAACTATATATGTTGGATAACATCCCAAAATTTTTTTGGCTAAATTGTTACATATATTTTATTGATATATAATTGGAATAGGAATTTCACCATTTTTCGGAATTAGGACCAAAAAGCACCTTTGGTCCCCGTTGAAGGTTCAAATATTATTTATCGAAATATTTCTCGTATGGTTGAAAGTAATACTGCCGAATATACTTTATGCCTAAAATGCAAGGATTACAAAAAATATATATCTACAAAAATTCAAAACTTTTGAAATCCGGGGGGAAGCTTGCTCCCTCTAATTATGCCACTTTGCGATGTAAACTTTGTAAACGCCGATTTTTTATTTTTTTTTTTTGTATTTTTAGATATAATTTCATAAGCTTCTGAGTTTCCCTTGTAAAAATTATTAATATTTTAAAAATTGTAAAAAATATATTGTTAGTTAGGTTCTTTGGCATTTCACCTACTCCAAACTCATCTACATTGGCCATTTGCATTCATTCACAAAAAAAGTTATCAAATTGCTTGGGGTACATTAAAATCGGACATTTAATAAAAACAACAACAAAAAATAAAAAATTTCAAAAATGTGTTTTTTTTTGTTGCTTCTTTTAATTAATGATCTGTGTACATATATATGTATGTATATTGTATCTGCGCACAACTGCTAATGATGATGAACAGCAAAATATTGAATATTAACAACAACTAAATTAGATTATTGGCCAACATTTTCATTAATTTCAATCAATTAGGAGATTATAAGGAAAATAATAAATAATAAACCGCGAAAAGAATTATCCACAAAAATCCACTGGGGTTTGTTTTGTTGGCCAAACAGCGATTTGGCTATTTTTAGATGTTTTTAGTTGTTGCCACTATTTTTGATTGAATTTTATTTATTTATTTTTAGCCTTTTCGTCATCATATCAAATTCTCACGCTTCCTTGTTCTTGGTCTCCCGCCCCACTCCCAATGGCTGATGAAAAACAAATCTGTGCTAAAATAACTTTCAATTCAATTTGATTGACGATAAATCGATTGATAAGGTTTCAGCTGAGCGCGCACACACACACACACACGGAAACCCCAAGAGACACTCACACACACAAATCTATAACATGAGCTGGAAGTTCTTTTGGAAATTGTTCGCTTTGATGCAGATTCTTTACTTGAGTGAGGTAAGTTAATGAAAAAAAAAAAAAAAAATTATTACTTAGAGGTGAATGGTAAATTTCTTAAAATTGAAATGCGTTAATGGCCATTATTTTGATCCTTCATCTAATTATCACAAAATGTCATCTTTACAAAAATTCCATACCGCCAGGACATGTCTCATCATGCATTTAATTGTCATTAAATCCATTTCGTTGACATTAACATTGTCTGGAAGTTCGACGTGGCAGACGACAGACGGTTGCATTAATGATAATCTTTATTGAAAGACCAAAATCGTGTGTGTTCTGTTTCATGAACTTATTTTTGCTAATCTCTGTGGCAGAATTTATTGGATAAAGATTTAAGTTGTCAGACTTGTCTGCTGTTCAATTTGCTGTTGTTCTTGTTGTATCTTGCTTGTTTCGCGTGTCTGCCAAACAAAAGAAGTCTTCCGAATTAAGGCATTAAAAGTGACATGACAGCACTAATACACTCGAAGAAAATTGTTCGTTGAATATCAATGAATCAATGTCTATAGATTTTTATGGGTAACAGACCTTCTATAGGTCTAGAAAACTTAGAAGCATAGAAGACGTTACAGATCTCAAATCCGTATAGAAGACCTCAAAGGTCTTCTATTCTTATACAAGATCTCACAGGTCCTCAATTTGTATAGAAGATATCCGTACACCTCAGACCTCAGAAGTGTCCTATCCATATAGAAGACCTCTGAGGCCTTCCGAGAGCGATCCGTATAGAATACCTCAGATATATCCTATCCGTATTGAAGACTTTACAGGTCTCCTATTCGTATAGCAGACCTCAAATGTATCCCTGAAACGTCTCCTATTCGTATAGAAGTCCTCATGGGTCTCCTATTCGTATAGAAGACCTCAAGGGTCTCCCATTAGTTTAGAAGACCTCAAAGGTCTCTCATTCTCCCATTCGTATAAAAGACCTCAAATATCTTTTATTCATATAGAAGACCTCTAGGATGTTCCATTAGTATAGAAGACCTCAAAGGTCTTTACAGGTCTCCTATTCGTATAGCAGACCTCAAATGTATCCCTGAAAGGTCTCATATTCTTATAGAAGTCCTCATGGGTCTCCTATTCGTATAGAAGACCTCAAGGGTCTCCCATTAGTTTAGAAGACCTCAAAGGTCTCTCATTCTCCCATTCGTATAAAAGACCTCAAATATCTTTTATTCATATAGAAGACCTCTAGGATGTTCCATTAGTATAGAAGACCTCAAAGGTCTTTACAGGTCTCCTATTCGTATAGCAGACCTCAAATGTATCCCTGAAAGGTCTCCTATTCTTATAGAAGTCCTCATGGGTCTCCTATTCGTATAGAAGACCTCAAGGGTCTCCCATTAGTTTAGAAGACCTCAAAGGTCTCTCATTCTCCTATTCGTATAAAAGACCTTAAAGATCTCTTATTCATATAGAAGACCTCAAGGGTGTCCCATTAGTATAGAAGATCTCCTATTCGTATAGAAGACAGCAAAGGTTTCCTATTCCTATAGAAGACCTTACAGATCCTATTTACATAGAATACTACAAAAGTCTCCCATTAGTGTAGAAGACCTGAAAGTTTTCCCACTCGTATAGAAGACCTACGAGGTCTTCTATTCTTACCAAGCACCTCAAAGGCCTCCTATTCCAATATAGAGCACCTCAAGGATCTCCTAATCGTATAGAAGTCCTTAAAGGTCTCCCACTCGTATAGAAGACATTAAGAGTCTCCTATTCATGAAGAAGACCGAGCACTTCAAAGGTCTCCTATTCCAATATAGAGCACCTCAAGGATCTCCTAATCGTATAGAAGTCCTTAAAAGTCTCCCACTCGTATAGAAGACATCAAGAGTCTCCTATTCATATAGAAGACATCAAGGTTCTCCTATTCGTATAGAAGACATGAAGGCTGTCCTATTCGTATACAGCACCTCAAAAGTCTTTATTCGTATAGAGCACCTCAAAAATTTCCTATTCGTAGAGAATACCTCAATGTTCTCCTATGTCTATTGAAGACTTCAAAGGCCCTCTATTCGTATAGAAGCCCTCTAAGGTCTTCTATTCGTATAGAAGACATACGAGGTCTCCCACTCGTATAGAAGATGTCCGAGGTCTCCTACTCGTATAGAAGACCTCCGAGGTCTCCTACTCGTATAGAAGAGCTCCAAGGTCTGTTATTCGTATAGAAGACCCCAAAGGTCTGTTATTCGTGTAGAAGACCTCAAAGGTCTGCTACTCGTATAGAAGACCTCAAAGGTCTGTTATTCATATAGAAGACCCCAAAGGCCTGCTATTCGTATAGAAGACATCAAAGGTCTCATATTAGTATAGGATCTCCCATTAGTATAGACCTCAAAAGTTTCCCATCCCTCTGCTGTTCTTATTCGTATAGAATAATTCAAAGTTCTCCTATTCGAATAGAGCATAGAAGGCCTCAAATGTCTCCTATTCATATAGAAGACTTAAAAGTTCTACCATTAGTGAAGAAGAGCTCTAGTATGTCCTATTCGTATAGAAGACCTCAAAGGTATCCAATTCGTTTAGAGTACCTCCAAAGCCTCGCATAGAAGGCCTATTTGGTACAGAAAATCGCAAGGTGACCTCAAGGATCTCTTATCCGTATAGAGGATCCTAAGGGTATCCTAGCCATATACAGCCCTCGTAAGTCTCCTATTCCTAAAAAAAACTTAAAAATTGTCAATTGATTTAAGATCTAATAGGTCTTCGGTCTATATAAAAGACCTGTTTTGTTAATTTTCGATATTTCCAAATATTTGAATTAATTTTTCTCTCAAATTTTCGTGAGCTTTACAGTGTGTCTGGCTGTCTGTCTGACTGACTGTCACTGTGGTTTTGGCGACATAACCGCAGAGGCATCATTTAAATTTGTGACAGATGTCTGATGGCAAGACGTCCGTCGACAAACCGCTACATTAATATTTTAAATAAAGTACGAAACAAATTGTTTGCAATAACAACAAAAAACAGCAACAGCAGCAATCCCAACATGAGAAATGTCCACGAAACGACAACAACAACAACAACAACAAGACAGCAAATCACATAAACATGTAAAATGTCCACAAAAATGTCTCCGCATTGTCAAAGTTAGCTGTCACAAACGTATGTAATTTGACTTTTACTTTCGGAATTTGAAAGGGTCCAACACATGACATTAGTTTAGATGGATATGTTGGCCCAAGAAACGCATTCCATTTGGATTTTATGTTTCTGTGGTAAATATGGAAATATTTTACAAATTAACCTTTTGAATTTTTGATGGATGACGATATTGGAATTAGTTACACCAATAACATGTTAAAGGGATCGGTCCATCCCTCTCCACCATAGCACTCGTCATCGACGTTATTGTTTGGAAGTTGTTGCTACTGCTGATGTTTTTTTTTTTTTTTTGCTTTTCTCCAACGATTCGCCTTTGCTAATTGAACTTGAAATATTTGAAATTCCCATGAAATCAAGCGGAAATAATTGCCTACAATTTGAAGGTTGTCCAAATATACGAAAAAAAAAAATAGTTTTGCATATCGGAGAGCAAGTCAAACAAAACAAAACAACAATCAAATCAAATGAAATGAAATTCCCATTATGTGACAACAAACAATGTGCGAACAACAAATTCGTTCAATGAACCGCAAAAAGTCATACACAACAGTTTGAACACACACACATACACAAGCCTGTGCAGAACATGTCTGTAGATAGCAACGAGGTTTTGAGTTCCATGGAAAGCGAGCGAAATTATTTCATAGAGTAAGCTAATGTGGTTTAGGATAATATGTATATGAAATAGGTAAGAAGTATCAGTCGGTTCGCCGATAGATATATACGCTCACTATATCACCTATTATATATGAAAATTTTGAAATGCTCATAACTCCTTAAATATCGGCATTTCGGGGTTTTTTGCATCATTTTTATTGCAGATATTTAAAGAGAAAAAAAAATACAATTTTAAAATGCTCATAACTCCTTAAATATTGACATTTCGGGGTTTTAGCTTCATTTTGATTGCAGATATTTAAAGAGGAAAATAGTCTATTTTAAAATGCTCATAACTCCTTAAATGTTGACATTTCGGTGTTTTTAACATCATTTTGATTGAAGATATTTAAAAAAGGAAAAGTATATTTTAAAATGCTCATAACTCCTTAAATATTGACATTTCAGGGTTTTTAGCATCATTTTGATTGCAGATATTTAAAGAGGAAAAATAGCCTATTTTAAAACGCTCATAACTCCTTAAATATTGACATTTCATGGCAGATATTTAAAGAGGAAAAATAGCCAATTTTAAAATGCTCATAACTCCTTAAATATTGACATTTCGGGGTTTTTAGCATCATTTTGATTGCAGATATTTAAAGCGGAAAAATAGCCAATTTTAAAATGCTCATAACTCCTTAAATATTGACATTTCGGGGTTTTTAGCATCATTATACCCTACACCACAAGGTGGTCAGGGTATTATGTCTTTGTGCATTTGTTTGTAACAGGCAAAAGGAAACGAGATAGACCCATAGTTCATTTTGATGATCTGCATAGAATCTCTTTCTGAGTTGATTTATGCATGCCAGTCCGTCTGTCCGTCCGTCCGTCTGTCCATGTATTCTTGTGAACAAAATGCAGGTCGCATTTATTATCCGATTGAGATGAAATTTTCCAAACAACATTTGTTTGGCCCAAGGACGAACCCTATTGAAATTGGAGATAATCGGTAAAAATTTAGATATAGCTCCCATATATATCTTCGTCCGATTTGCCTTTTATTGTGCACCAAACATGTAATATCAGCCCGAATAGTATGGAATTTTGCACATGCAACCAAATTAGGCCTAAAAATAAGCATGCCAATTTTGACGGAAATCGGTTCAGATATAGCTATAGCTCCCATATATATTGTTCATCCGATTTGTTATTTTTGTCCTCCGCAGCCGTAATATGCACTCTGTAACAACAATATTTGGGGAAATATATCAGCTCAGAAA